ACCTCTTGAGGCGCACATTTTTTCTACCGGACAGTTTTTTACGAATATGTATATTTATATGTTTTTTGGGCCAATTTTAAACATTCAAAATGGCGGATCCAATGTGACCGCTATGCAAGAGTAAATTCATCGAAATCGAAATATGTATAAATATGCTAACAATATAAGTAATATAGAATCATGAGTTATTACGAATTTGGTGTCAAGTTTGAAACATTTGAAATAGCTAAACCAATGTAAAACCTAAATGTAAATGAAAAACAATTAAACTTATTGTCAGAGTTCCTTTCAATCGCTTTTTTTCAAAATTTATTTATTTATAAATAATGAAAAATGAACAGCATGATGTACAATAGGACGTGGAAAAACCATTTCCGGGGAAACTGCTTTTCATAACACGTTTCATTATTTGGGCACAGTATGTCGACATTACATTGAAAATAGCCAAAATTGTTGTTGTTGCTATAATTGACATTTTATTTCTCAATAATGAGCGTATGAAAAATTCTCAATAAATTATGTATTGTACAATGAATGAGGTAAGCTCAACTAATATGTGTCTAAATCTGTGGCTTTCTAGTGCTTTTAGTTTACGCAGTAGCTGAATTAATTCGAAAAAAACTGCCTTTTTTCTTCAGTTTATCTTTAGTTATTTATAAATAATAGCGCGACATATAACTAATGAAAATATTAATTAAAAAGTAATAGTTTAGAAATCTTGGAAGTCCTAATTATGTAATTCTATTAATATCTAAACGTAACTTTGGCAGAAACATACCGAAAAACCGAATGAGAAAAGGTGGTAAGTATACTTAGCACTGCGTCGCAAAGGGCATTAAACTTGTTTGAATTAAACACGCTGGTTTCGATGAAATCCAACGATTCTGATATAAATGCATGCTGGGGGGTTTAATCACACGTGCTGCATTTTGAGAACGCAATTTCCGCGGTTTCTTCAAATCAATTCTCTCTTTAGCATAAATTTTTATTTACGGTGCTTCTATTAATTCTGCACCATAAATTCTTTTTTTGCTCTCTAATATCTATATGTATGTGTACATATATATATATGGATTTCTCTTTCTCTCTGGCCAAGTATATGTCATCATCTTTTACACGTGTGGGAATTTCTTTGCAGATTCACGTGCTTAACTTCATCCAGGAAGAAGCGCGCTTCCGAAGGCGACGTTTCCTGTGCCTCACTGGGGTCACCGGGTTCAACCAACTATCACGAGTTTCCGTTTTCTATGTTGCGCATCTATCTCACGTGCAATCTCTCTCTCTCTCTCTCTCTCTCTCTCTCTCTCTCTCTCTTCTCGCGGCTTAATCTGTGCGGTGAGTCGTGCTGCATCGAGCTGCATCACGTCGAGTTCCACGACGGGAAAGTCGTCGGGCTGCAGTCGTAGAAATATTGCATTTCATTTTCATTTTAATATCTACAATACAAGGGTAATGAATACAGTACAGTTCCTTTTTTATTCACTCTAACGGCAATTTTCCTCGGACGAAAAGAACATCGAGAGAGAGAGAGAGAGAGAGAGAGAGAGAGAGAAAGAGAGAGAGAGAGAAAGAGAGAGAGTTGCATCTCTTGTTCGATGCAGCTCCTATTCTCAACATTGCATATTTTTCTCAATAAATTCCACACACACACACACACACACACACACGAAAGCAAAGATTTCGGTAGAGTCTATTCAAAATTTCACCATTTTGGGTTAAGATTAGCAATTGTAATATTAGCAATTTCTTGTCACGTCTTCATACATCACGTCTTTAAAATGGACAGAAGAGTAAGTAGAGATATTATTTCTTCACGCGAGACTGTGATCACCTGAGATCGAGAATACGTCTTGCGCAACAGCTATGCAATTGGAGAAAATTAGAGAAAAAAAAAGAAAAAAGAAGCAACATTCACTGTGCAGTTCAGTTCAAGCGGTGAAACATCTCGATCAGCATGCAAATCGTTAAAGACAGACTATGTGCACCTGTCACATGCACGGAGTCGGAGACTTTCATGCGGAGACTCTCTGTGGGCTCTGTGTCTGACGAGACAGAGAAATGTGCCGCAAGAGCAGGTTTCTGACCCGCGATCGACCTTCCGCAGTACTTAACGGATGAGTAGAGAGTTACGAGCGCGCATCGTTCGCTCGAGCGATGCATGCGGGACGAGCCTGATTCGAAAGTGAAACTTGCCCTAAGTCTGTGATCAACTGTGATGAGTCCTGTCTAGGTCTAGGTGAAATCTGCACGCGTATTCTCCGAGCACTGCTCCGAGCGATCTACAAAACGTTGTCTTTTATATAATTGCGGTACAGCAGCCTTCTATTATGGTCCGGCGAGAGGCCGGACATCAAGCCCGAGATGACATCAAGTAAGAAATTACATTTTCAGCAAAAAGGTTGTCGTAAGTACGCATCTTCGTCGGTACGCATACGTCTGTCATCTTTGCAAAAAAAAAAAGAAAAGTAAAGGGACTCTCGTGCGTCATGTTTCGCAAATATTATGTCATTTCGCGTAAGAACTGCTGGAGATTGAACATACTGATTGATTGTAGCCAAAAATTTTGAGAAAAAAAATTAATATACTCGCACTTACATGTAGAAAACGTACATCGTGCAGAACGAAACATTGAACATAATAAATAAAATCAAAAGTTTCTTTAGAAAAAGTCTTTTTGTCTCGTCTATATAAGCCATATAAAAATTTATATATCGCTTCATCGACAATCTCGCTCATCTAAAATTCACTAAGATTCCAATTCAAGTTTCGTATTGAAGTGGACCTGGCGCTAATAATATAGATAGAATATGTTTATTTGTACGCAGCTCAGACACATCTTTTCCGTTCGTATTATGTTTTATAACACTCATTGATACTTTCAATCTTTATTATGTTTCCATACTACTAAATTTTATACGTATGTAAAAAAGAGAAATCGAGCACGCACGAACAAATGAATTTTAGAGAGCGTAGATATTATGAAACACGAGTTGAAAAAAAAGACACGTCAAAAAAGATCAACGATCAATTATCCCCACGACTTGGAAATTCTATATACAGGCGTCATCAAATAAAAGAAAAAAAAAACATCACGCAAGAATGTTTGCTATTTTTCTTTTCCGACCTTCTTTTGTTATTTTCTTAAAGCCTCGGAGGCGTAAAGGAGGCGAGCAGACGGATTGTACGGATTTTTAACGGTGTCGAAAACGGAACCTTGTATCTCTCCTTCGCAAAGGAGGTCTTGCTTGCGACGTCTGAATAACCTCTGGAGGAAAGAGAACGCGTGACATATTTGCATACATATCCGGTTTACATACAACGCGTGGTTTCGTCCGGCTAGAAAATAGCACTCTGGACAAGAGGCATCAGGAGTCGGGTTTCTTATGACCGATTCCGATGCCGATTGTACGACTGTTCTGTCGCATATACCGTGACCACCGCCGTCATATATATCCGCCTGTCATATATATACTCGCTCGTCCAGCCCGCGGGAGTGTACTTTCACTCTCCGAGCGAGTCCCATGGAGCTCCCGTTAACCGTTAACGGAGCTTCTCCTCGAGCTTAACCCGCGGCATTATATGTTAATGGACGGACCTTCTACCATCGGAAGATGGCATACGCTCGAGGCTTTTGATAGCAGCTGCGAGCGAAAGGCTGCACGAAAGTGATCTCGTATGTCCCGACTTCCCGTTCCCGACGAGAAGGACGAGAAGGGAAACAAAGAGACGGCGACGCAAGCAGAACGGAAGAAAGAGAGAAGTAGCAAGTTGCAAGAATATTGATAAGGTTGAATTGAATTAAGGTCGGAGTAATGAGGAAAGCGGGGAAAGATCACACCGTAGGAACCGTAGACCAATTTCGATGCATTGTCTCGCGCGCGCGTCTCGTATTTCTCCACATTTCTCCTACGTTGTACTTAATTGCTATTAGACAGTTTGCACTTTCGCCCTGACTACTCACGAAATAAGTTGCAAGTGCTCGTTAATTAGTATCGGAACCTAAGTCGACACCGTTAGTAGCTAGGAGTCGGAAATTGCGATAGGATCTTTGTTTGTTTCTTTTTTTTTTTGCCGGCAGGCAGATTTATATATTTCGTATGAAAATTTATTCTTGATTCTCGTCTTATCCTTAGAAAGCATCGTAGCTCCTCTCCCCTCGCGTCACCTTTCCGTCCGTTTCGTTTTTACGCGGTTCATGGCGCAACTTTATATGTCGGCCATTGCACTTTTGTCTAATGTCAATGAATTGAATAGATAAAACCTGTGCAAAAGAAATACAATGCGTAATTCTCTTTCGTTAATTTAATCGGCTCTCGGCGTTTGTTTGTTTAAAAATTATTTTCATATTTTATAAATTGGAGATATTATATAAATGTGTGGAAAAAATTCGCATTCGATAAACTGTCATGTGGGAGAATACAGAGAAGAGATCATACGATCGTCTCTCTGAATGGAAAGTTTTCCTTCTACTTGTCTCCCGATATTTTTTAGGTTTGTTAGGTAGATCCTCGTTGGATCGTCTCGTGGAAGATTTACCGGCCGTACCACTTCCGGCTGATGTTCCCTCCTTACCCTATCCATTTTGATTATGTTCTCTTTTTACGGTTTTCTCTCATATCGTCCCACACTTGTTGCAGCACATGAACTTGGAGAAAGTAAAGGTCGTGAGTTCTCGCGACCCTGAAGATCCTGGGGCAGGCTTACTTACTCTCTTGATTCTCGTCTTATCCTTAGAAAGCATCGTAGCTCCTCTCCCCTCTGTCGCGTCACCTTTCCGTCCGTTTCGTTTTTACGCGGTTCATGGCGCAACTTTATACGTCGGCCATTGCACTTTTGTCTAATGTCAATGAATTGAATAGATAAAACTTGTGCAAAAGAAATCAAATGCGTAATTCTTTTTCGTTAATTTAATCGGCTCTCGGCGTTTGTTTGTTTAAAAATTATTTTCATATTTTACAAATTGGAGATATTATCGTGTATACATAAATGTATGGAATATATAAATGTGTGGAAAAAATTCAAATTGTTTTATTTAAAAAGTGTAAATTGTTTTATTTAAAAAGTGTAAAAAAACCCGTTTCCCTTCACCCTTCATTCTTCTTCTTCGTCTCGTTTATTCGTCAGATCGATCAATGTGCGGAATTAGTTGCGCTTTTCAGGCGCGATTTAATTCCGAATTGATTCTTCATCTCCGAAATGTCAATTGCTGCTCGACATTGCGGACAACAAGAAAGAAAGAAATTATCCATCGAAACGCGAGGAAGAGCAAAAGACCGTGGCATATGAAGTAATATTTATTAACATATAAAAAATATTAACATGCACGCACTTCAATAATCAAACGATATGTACACACTGGGGGATTAAATCAAGCATAATATGAATCTGTTTACCCCGAGGCTAGATGAATCCTTCAACGATATACAGGTTTGCTGTATATCGCTTAATGCTGATGCTGATGTACATGCTGATGTACATGCGATCTACATTGGAAAATGGATAAGAGATTCTCGTTTTCTTTTCTCACTTTTTTGTTTCTCCGTCTCTCTCTCTCTCTCTCTCTCTCTCTCTCTCTCTCTCTCTCTCTCTCTCTCTCTCTCTCACTCTCTCTCTCTCTCTCGGATTTTTATGATAAAATTTAAGTTTATTCTCGCTAATTCATTATTATAATTACTGAGCATTGAATTAAGAATTACGTTTGGTCCAATGTAGATGACATGTAGGATGTAACATCATTCTTTAACAAATCATGGACATTCTTTTCTAGCGACAACTTGTTTGACTTTGTCCTCTGCTGAAATACATTTTGTCTGCATAATACATACGCAGATAACATTGTATCATGATCGATCCTGACGATCGAGTATTCAGGCATTTCGAGGCTGCGTGAAGAGAATCGTCGAGTGTCAAAGGGGATACGCGTAACGCAAACGCGCATCAGGATAATTGTTTGAAAAATTTCCTCCGGTGCGTATCTCATCGTCGCGATGCTTTCTAGCTGTTACAACCATAGGCCTTTCCCTTCTTCGGGCATACGTCTATCAGCCGGATTTTACTCCCGAGACTTTCCTCCCGAGATGCGTGTGTCCATTTGCGGCCAATGAATTATCACAAATCTATATAAGGTTCAAGCAACTTTCCTAGTAGCTTACATTAAATTCTCCAGCAAAGTCAGCTTCTCGGACATTTGAGCGAGCCGCGAAATAGACAAAGGAAGGAGGAAGATCAAAATCGGCGTGACCCTCGACGACGACGACGACGACGACGACGACGATCTTACTTGTAACCGTGATGACCTTCATCGTGATGAGACTCAATGGGCACCCAAACTTTCTCCCAGACGGGCTTCCAAACCTTCTTCCAAGCCGGTACCTGCACGTCTTTCCAAACCGGAACCCACTTGCTTTTCCACTCGTCTTTCCACACCTGCTTCTTCTGCGTGACCCAGATCTGCTTCTTCTGAGGTATCCATACCTGCACCGATTCTTCCTTCCAGATCAGTTTCTTGTCCGTCACCCAGACCTGCTTCTTCTCCGTTCGCCAGATTTGCTTCCATTCGGCTTTCCACTCCAATTTCTTCTCGCTCACCCAGATCTGTTTCTTCTCGGTTCTCCAGATCTTCTTCCAGACCGGCTTCCAGATCAGCTTCTTCTTCCAGAGATCGTGACTGGTATACTGCCAACCGTGATGATCCTTGCCCACGTATTGCTCACCGGGTATACCGATCTTGACCCATTCCGGTACCCAAATCTTCTTCCAGTCGGGCACCTGGATCTCCTTCCACACCGGCACCTGGACTTCTCTCCAGACAGGTTTCCAGACCTTCTTCCAAGCCGGGACTTGTACCTCCTTCCAGATCGGTACCTGTATCTCCTTCCAAACGGGCTTTTGGACCTTCTTCCAGGCTGGCACTTTGATCTCCTTCCAAGCAGGCACTTGAATTTCCTTCCAGACCGGCACCTGCACCTTCTTCCACTCTTGCTTCCAGATCAGCTTGGACTCAGTCTTCCAGATTTGCTTCCATTCGGGCTTCCACACCAGTTTCTTCTTCCACACGCCTTTCGGTTGATCGTGCGCCGGAGGTCCGTACGATCCCGAAGGTGGCCCATAGGATCCGGAAAGACCCGAGCCGAAACCGCCTCCGTCGCCCCCGCCGAAACCACCCGATCCGTGATGATCACCGAACGAACCGCCTCCGATAGATCCGTGATCACCGCCGAAGGAGCCGTGACCACTGTCAAAAGATCCTCCGCCGTGACCACCACCATAGCCACCGCCGCCGCCGCCGCCGCCGCCACCGCCGTGATCACCGCCATAGCCACCACCGCCACCACCGCCGTGATCACCGCCATAACCACCGCCGCCGCCACCGCCGCCATGATCACCACCATAGCCATCACCACCGCCACCGCCACCGCCGTGATTACCGCCATAGCCACCGCCGCCGCCGCCGCCGCCACCGCCGTGATCACCGCCATAGCCACCGCCGCCATGATCACCACCATAGCCACCACCGCCGCCGCCGCCGCCGCCGCCGCCGCCGAAATCGTGGGATCCCGCGCCGTGATCGTCGCCGAAGGATCCGTGATCACCGCCGGATGGGACGCCGTAACTAGACGATGGTGGCCCATAACTCTGTGAGGGTGGCCCGTAAGATGAAGAAGGCCCAGATGGCGCACCGTACGACGATGATGGCGCCGATGGTGCACCGTACGACGACGATGGGGGCGGAGGTGGTGCACCGTACGAGTCAGAGGGTGCGCCATAAGACTTTGACGGTGGACCGTAAGAGTCGGATGGCACCCCGTACGACGTCGACGGTGGTCCGTGATCGTTCAACGGTGCTCCATATTGCGAGCTTATGGGAGGCCTGCAATGTTCATCCCATTAGAATGGAATGGATTCGATCTTGCAAGAAATTCGGTGCTTCACCGTTCACCGATCAATTTCTTCGATTCTTCTCGACGAGAGCACAAGTTCAGTTATTATCTCATATTAATTATCTACATATTCGACGTATATTCCATATTACATATATATGTGAAAACTGTAAAACGTGATGAAAAGTTTGTTCTTATTATTATTATTATTATTATTGCATTCAGTTTGATGTTGTTAACTACGTCAATTCACTTGTATAAGACACACGCGAGAACTTTTACATCTTGACTGAATCTTTTTTCTCAAGTACCATATGTTAATAACGCATTATGTACTCACTCTCTCTTTGTTCTAATCGGGTCTCCAAGCGCGCAGATAACAAAGAAGCCACACAATATCTGAAAGAATCCTCTTAATTAGTTTCGTGAAGACCTCTGTGCGAGCGATTCACATTTATATTGTCCATTGTGAGTGACGATGATAATGATAGAACGGCAATCTTTTGAAAGAAATCCAGAGAGAGAGAGAGAGAGAGAGAGAGAGATAGGGGGGAGGGGGAGAGAGAGGGAGGGGGGAGAGAGAGAGAGAGTTGAAGGAAAAACAATAGTGCCATGTTCCACGTAAAAAGTAAAAGAGTAGGTAATATCTAATATCGAGTTCAAATTAGAAACGTTAACAACAAGTAAACAACCGCTAATTCGCGCAGGACGACGTTTACCGACATTAGACGGATTTTTGGATGTATCGAGTTGTGTTAATAACAAACAAAGAAGACGATTCAAAGATAATGTTCAGAAAAGAAAAAAGAAAGGAAAAGAAAAGGAAAGAAAAAGGAAAGAAAAAGGAAAGAAAACGAGAAGCACTTCACGTTTCGGCTGAACGATGACTCAAGGTTAGTGTTAATCACCGCAGCAGCATCCGCGTGTCCGTTATCTCGCGCGCATCTACACGTAAAAACAGGGCTACGCTAATCGTGCGATCGAGCATACTAAAGAGGGTACCGCCGTATTAATCGTCCTCTCTCTCGAGCGTATCGCGACTTCATAATTATCACATCCGCGCGATCAGCGGCCGTCAAAACTCTTCCACTTTTCCTCGCCTGAAGCGTGATTCGTCGTCGTCGTCGTCATCGTCGTCGTCGTCGTCGTCGTCGTCGTCGTCGTCGTCGTCGTCGTCGTCATTGAGGGATGGTACTCGCGGATTTCTATACGCTCGCGGGCTTTACGAGTGCGTCTCTCAAAAATGAAAGTGTCCGTCGTCGCGTGTGAACACACGGCCGACGTAAACAGGCGTAAATTGGGTCGACGCGTCCCCACCGGTTCCTCTCGTCTTTTTACGTTCCCAGAAGGGGTCTCCGGGACCGTGAAGCCGGGTCCGACGATTAACTCGTCGGATCTTGCGAAAGTAGGTTCTTCTTCGAGAAATTCTCTCTTTTCCTCTCGTCTCTCTCTCTCTCTCTCTCGCCGGATATTACCCTTGGACACTTGATACTTGTCACGGTCTAAGGTCGTTACGTTCCACGAAGATGGAACATAGTGTTTAAGCTATCTGGTTTGTCTGAAACAATCCTTCTCCAGTCGTCTGTCTGACTGGCCGGATTTATATCCGGGTATGTTTGAAAACCAGAGGATCTATCGCGCGCTCTCAACTTTGGATTTTTAAACTGACTTTTTGGACAATGAATTCTTTTGAATGAATAAAAACGTCCAGCAAATCAAAGCAGCTGCTAACGAGATACTAACGAAACACATATAGAAATATTTGTCACCGACTATCATACATTTTTTATATACGGGGTGCTAAATTTCAAACGTAACAGGTAAAAAATCTTGGAAACTATGAAAGATATTAAAAAAAGCTAAAATACGTGTTCCGATGATTTCGAAGGGGAAAGAGAATGGCATTGTCAGTTTTTTATTTGAAAGGCATTTTCAAGGTCAGTTGAGGGTCAGCTTAATTTTTTCAAATGGAAAGCCCAATTTTTTATTATATCTTCTTTTTCTACCAATTAATTTTAACAACTTTTGTTTTGTCTAAAACATTTTTTTATTTGCCTAATACTTTTTGAAATATTTAAGGAGAACTTGGTAACTTTTTCAACATTTAACTTACGATATCTCGCTAATTATTTATCGAAAGAAAAAATAGTATTAGACCTTTTTACTTTATTTACTATCAAGATCATATTACTATAATAGTGCCCTAACTTTTGTTAACTTGTCGACCTTTGGAAATTTCAAAATTATTAAATCAACAAAAGTCATCAACACTATTATAGTAATATCATATATTCTTAATAGTAAATTCTTGAAAGTAAAAAAGTCTAATACTATTTTTTCTTTCGACGAATAATTAACGAGATATCGTATAAGTTAAATGTTGAAAAAGTTACCAAGTTTTCCTGAAATATTTCGAAAAATATTAAGCAAATAAAAAAATGTTTCAGACAAAAGTTGTTAAAATTAATTGGTAGAAAAAGAAGATATAATAAAAAAATTGGGCTTTCCATTTAAAAAAATTAATCTGACTTTCAAACTGACCTTGAAAATGCCCTCCAAATAAAAAACTGCCATGATAGTGCCATTCTTTTTCCCTTTCGAAATCATGGAGCACGTGTTTTAGATCTTCTAATATCTTTCATAGTTTTCGAGATTTTTACGACCTATTACGCTTGAAATTTAGTACCCTGTACACTATAGATTAATGAAAAATAAAAACCCTTAATGTTTTTCTCTATCTTTGTTTTCTCTATCTTCCTCGAAAGTAATTGAGTAAAACTGATTGACTGATGAGAGAATGAGGTACACTTTCATACGTTTCCTTGTAAGGATCGTTTGTCTAAATGTCCAAGGTGGAGAGATCGCTCCGGAAACGGAGCGTTCTCGACAGACGTGTCTGGAATCCTAGCAATGAGAGTCTTTGACTTTGTTACTTGAGAAATCGCGTCGCGTCGCGTTGCGCCCCGCGTCTTGTAGCAATCCTCGTGCGCGCTAGTCGATACTGATATATTTGCGCGTGGTATTTCCAGCTACGGCTACCGTTTGCAAAACTTTCCATTCCGCACCAGTGAAAAGTGACAAGAATAGCCGCTTATAGCAATTGCCGTTGGGAAATGGCAGCGGCAATTTACCGCCTCGTCCGCGACCATTTACAATGGTTACAATGCAGCGCTATCTTTAAGCCTCGTACTTTAAGGTCATGATGACGGCTGTTGCCTGTGCTTTTCTCGCGTCGGCACGAAAATGGAACACGCGCGCAACCACGTTGACGTTTACGACAACATATAAAACGAGAAATGTGTCTCGTAAAGATATATATAAAAAATGATGTATGTAAAATATGTATAAAAAATTATGTGTCAAAAAGCGACGCGATGCGCCGAGGAAAAGTTGCATTGCGGTGTAAAAGATATTTAAAATCATGTAAATCATTTAAATATTTTTTTAAATATGATCTTTTGAGACGCGTTCTTCTTCGAACGTCGTATCTTTGAACGCGAATAAATTGACAAACGAGTGATTTCACAGTAGTAATTGTATAACTTCTCCTCGCATATTTAAAAGATATAGCTAAAAAGCGTTACCGCGCGTCGCGATATATTCGGACGGTTCAAGTACACAAATTTGCAAGCACAGGAACGTTGATGCCGTCCGATCGAATGAAGCCGGAATAGAAAGGATAACGCGCACAGGATACGTCACTATACCGCGCGACACTATCCACGTTTGATCAAAGTAACAATGATTTTCCTGCACGTAAAACGTAGTTTCCTGTTTTTATACCCGATAACGTCCCAATCTCTCTCTCTCTCTCTCTCTCTCTCTCTCTCTCTCTCTCTCTCTCTCTCTCTCTCTCTCTCTGTCACTTATCGTCTTAAGGAAAAAGCTCACATGTATCACGAAACGCGCACTGGCTAAAAGCACACAAAGTCAAAGGGGCAAAGGGGCTAATGAAGGATGAAAGCACGATGATAATAAACACTGACCAGAATGAATCTCATGTCTTTCTCCGACGCCGACGAGGGTGGTCGTCCACAGTAGAGAGAAAAGGAGAGAGAGAGAGAGAGAGAGAGAGAGAGGGAGAGAGAGAGAAGGAGAGAAAAAAAAAACAACCAAAAACGGCACCGACTGCCGCCGTCCCTTTTTTACGGTTCGTCACTCTTCTGACGAATTCGTAGTGTCATCCGTGGCTTTTATAGCGAATGTACACCTCCGCGGCTAGATGCTCATGGTACCCTAGACACTCGAACCTTCCGAGGAGGGGTACCAAGAGAGTACTACTACGGTGGCTAAATGGGGGGTGCTGCATCCCGACTCTTCTTGGTACATCTTCACTTAGGAGGGGATCCCCCTCGTTTTCATGCTTCATAGTGAATGCGGGGCAACCGTGTTGCCGCGATGAGTTGCCGAATACCGTAATGCACGACGTACTCTGCTCTCGCTAGACGTGGACTACAGATGTAGATTAGTCCGCGTGAGTTTAACGATACGGAAGAGCAACTCGTGAGTGAGACAATGTGGAGAAGAGAGTTCTCGACAATTTCCGGTAATATTCATTAACTTTTAACGCATATATTTTGTTGATTGACAATTAAACTTTAATTGATTTAATTCGCTCTCGCACCGAAAGGAACAACAAGGAGCGAGACTTTCAAATAATATATAACCGCGGTAAATTTATTTGGTAACATATATTATAACAGATATATTGTAACATGTATAATAATAGGGAAACCGATTGAAGTGGGAAAGACGATTAAAGCAATTAGAACTTGTGTTGAATTGTAGAGGCTTAATATCGTCGGCGCACATTGACGATGTATGCAAATGTCGATGTGTGAAACAAGCAATGACACGCGACACACACGCGATATAACCAATAATGACTTTCTCGATAATTATTATCAAGGTTCTTTCCAGTCGATCGTTACCGTGAGGGGAATGGACTTTCTACCGCCTCTTATATCGACGACTAAATTGTACGGAGTAGTTTCAAATAAAACACGTATTCGCAGTTAATGGAAGTGGGGAAGGATGTCCTCACGAACATCAAACAATCGAAAGAGAAATTACGCATCCTGGCGTTATGTAAAAATAGCAAACGTACACGCGCTCGCAAAGTGCCGATCGAAAGTTGCCGCGATTTAGATAAATATACAATAGAAAACACTCGGTTAGCGCCGAATACTAATTGCTGCGAAAAAAGAAAAGAGAAGAAAAAAGAAAAAAAGAATATTCTATTCTTTATTCGTAAACGCATAAAGTCGTAGAAAATTTTTTCCCAAACTTTCGTTTTTCAAAGAATTAGTTTTCTCGAACGCGAATCTATCTGTGACAAGTGTTGCGACATAATTGTCGCCAGTTTGTCAGTTGAGAATCTCGTCGAGAGAGAGAGAGAG